AGCAGGGAGCCCGACGCGGGACTCGATCCTGGGACTCCAGGATCATGACCTGAGCCGAAGGCAGTCGCTTAACCGACTGAGCCACCCAGGTGCCCTATTTTTAATTATCTTAAGGAAGCACACATAACATGTTAGAGGAAGAACATGTTTTACCCAAATTTTTCCCCCAATTTTTTTCAAACAAAAAAATAAAGTATATACAAACAAAGACGCATATCTAAGATTAAGTTGCTCTAAGTCTTTTTTTAAAGAAAAAGGTAGAAAAATTAGAGCAAACAACAAGAAGAATGAGGTAGCACACACACAAAAATCACTACTTACAATTATTTTGTTATTATAGAAGTTATTCACTTGACAAATCTTATCATTTTCTTTCTGGATGCCATTTTTAAGATTTTCTATATCAAAATGAGTATTCAACCATTCTTCCAAAAACTGGGTCATTTCTTTCCTATTACTTAGCACTTGCTGAAATTCAGTCTTTATGCAGTGGAAGTCATTTTCTGAAAGATCTTTGAGAATTTCCTGTTTGAAAAATAAGTATTCAATCGCCTGAACATTGAGTTTTTATCTAAATATCATACATAAGGGGGAAACACCTTACTAAACTCTCATTCTTAATATTTTGAGTATTTTGAAATAAACACAATTCTAATTTATTTTAGTTGTATTAGAAATATAATTCTAATTCAAAACTTTGTTCTAGTTATTTGAATAATAAAAACCTGGCAGTATAAGCTATGTAAGGAATGTCTACAAATTCTGCCTGTTAGAATTAAAAACCACCAAAACTATCTGTGACTACTAATCACACATACGCAGTGCTGCTGCATGTAGCTTTTCTGTGCACCCAGGCCTTACATGCACGTTGGGAACTGGATGCCAGCCTCACACTGCTGGGTGAGAGCAAGACACTCCATGAGGAGTTGTTGTAATAACATTGTTCCTGACTCCCAGCTCAGATCTAGGACGTTTTAGAAGGCATTCGGAAACTTATTCTGGGGTTCTATGAATTCCCACTTATTGGGACTAAATCTATTTTTCTGTATCTGTGGAGTCCTGAAAAGCTGCTGGCTAGTCCATTACGTGGCACTCTTCACATCTGGCCAGCGGTCACCCTGCAACCTATTTTTAATTTCTGGAAAATGAAAATGGCTCTCAGCACATGCAAAAGTACCTACTCTATATAAGAAAAAGGCTTAAAATCTAATTAAACCATTTAAAATAAACTATACCTCAATATGTAGATCCATATTCTTGCTCAATTTGAGGTCCGTGAATTCTCTGGATGGTACATCATAATCTTGTTGAAGCTGCTGTATTTTAATTAGCAGTTCATTTTGCTTTTCCACTTCATCAATAAAAACTACTTCAAATTTATTGATGGATTCATGTTGTTCTTCCTTTATCTTTGTAACATGGCTTAACACATACTTGTAGAAAAACATTAAACAAATTGGGAAATGAACCTTTTATCACATTTAGAGGAAATTTTAAACCCTCAAGATGGCATATCTTGTTTATCTATATCCTCTGGTAAATGAGGAAGAAGGAAAGAGCCTCTCTCTATCCCCAATTTTTTCCTCTCAGTATCTTGGGAGAATAACTTCCAGACTTCAAGTTCCTTATTTCGGATTCCCTACTGGCTACACCTCATGGATGTCCTACAATTACTTCTGATTCACTGTTAAAATGGAACATAATCTCTTTCCCTATAAACTCACCTTTCTCTTCTGCTCACTTTTTGGTTAACTGTGTCACCAATCATGCAGGTATCCCAGCTAGACGCCTGAGGTTCATTTTCAACATCCCTCTCCTGCCTACCTTCGTTGGGTAACCAGTGTGGGTATACCAGCCTCAAGATTTACTTCTCACATGTAGTTAGATGTTTGGCATCAAGGTGACAATAATTTGAATGCCATATGTTCCATGGACCTCCTGGATAAATTCTGGATATCTGATTGCCAGTCAGAATATCAGGGCCTGAGAGGCAATCTACCTAGAAAAGACAGACACCAACTCCCTACTTCCTCAATCTCCCACCACTCCTTAACCTCTTATAATCTGGCTCTTCCCTAACCACTCAATTAAAACTGCTCTGACAAAGGTCAACAATAAGCTCTATTATCAACGAATTGAGGGCATCTCTTCAATTCATATTCTGGCTGTCTGAAGTATCTGCCACTCTTGACCATTTCATCTTTGACATGCTGTCCTCCACTGACTTGAGCAATAGCACTTTTGCTTGATTTTCTCCTGTCTCTTTGCCATTTCCAACCTCAAACCCATTTGTTGCTCTCTTTTCTGCTATGGCCTCTTGAAAATTTATCTTTTCCAGAGTTCTTATCTTATCCTAAGGCTCTTATTTTTCTATTATGCCTTCTGGGTGACCTTACTCACACATGTATTATCTAGCATGTATATGCTGATGAATTCCAAACCTTTATCTTTAGTCCTGACTTGTCTCCAGACAAACGCCAGACTCATATAAGTGCCTGTTTTTCTTCTTGAATGCTCCATCATGGGTATTTCTACCTCAAAACATCTCAAACTAAACACCTGATTGCTTCTCCTGCCTTGCCTGCCTTGCTTCTCTTTCTTTTTTGTCAGTTAATGGTACCACTCTCCACAAACCTGGCTACGCCCAAATTCTGGCACTCAATCTAAGCATCTCCCTCCTTACCTCACTGTCAATCATGTGAACCTACTATTTTAAGCTGCTGAATATTTAATTTCTTTTATCCTCCCTGTGCCTATGAATCCTTTTCTAGTAGTACGGTCACCTGTAATATCTAACCTGGATCACTATAACTGCCTCTTGTCTCTTCTCTCTGCCACAAACTCATCGCTTTTCTACAGTGAAGTAGCTAAAATGGTAATCTGATCATGCTACTGCTACCACTTAAAAATAACGGCCCCGTGGCTCCCCATCATCTGCAAAATGAACTCTGAGCATTATTGCTTGAGTCCAGCTTCTACTGTGATCCCATTTTCTGTAATTCTTTATCTGGTTTGTCATACAACCTGCACATGCTTCTGTCACTACACTTACTAGCTGCTTATATGTTTGCCTCATGTGCTAGACTAGGAGATTTCTGAGATATTATTCCTATCTGTCTCTCAAGCACCCCATGATGGTATCTAGGCTCACAGGCAGAGCTCAAGTTTTGTTGAATGAACAGGTCCTAGAGGCACAGTGGATCCTGCACATACTATTCTGAGATGCACATAGTCTTTAATTCAGCAGTAAATATACTAAATAGCAAATATGCTAACTCCCAAAGTAGGACTTAAATGTACTGATGTTAAAACTAAAATTTATAGCAATATTTACAAAGATATTACTAAAAAAGGTAGTACCTGAAGTTTCTTCATGACTCTGTGGAATTCCATTGAACATCTTTGGTTTGCAGTGAGAAGTTTTTGAATTTGTTTGATTTGTGGATATGGAAGTGAGAGGTTTGCTTTTACTCTAACTGAAAGGTCTTTTTGGGTTTCAACTTCTTTCTCCAAGTCAAGGGATAGTCTATTTAAGCACTCATAATGATTATACATCTCTGAGTATCTCTTCAGAAGCTCCTAAGGAAAATTAGAAATCATTCAGTTTAACAATTCATCCTGATTTAACAACAAATAGTCCTTGACCTAGAATTGTTTTTTTCTTTTAATTTTTAAATTTATTTTACTTTTAAATGTAAATTCAATTAATTAACATATAATGTATTATTTGTTTCAGGGGTACAGGTCTGTGATTCATCAGTCTTATATAATACCCAGTGCTCATTACAACACATACCTTCTCCATTGTCCATCATCCAGTTACCCCATCCTTCCACCCCCTCCCCTCCAGCAACCCTCAGTTTGTTCGCTATCATTAGGAGTCTCTTATGGTTTGTCTCCCTCTCTGGTTTCATCTTCTTTCATTTTTTCCTCTCTTCCCCTATGATCCTTGCCCTAAAATTGTAACCAAATTTATGCTTTAACATTTTCTGTATTACAGAAACAAATTAAGACCTTTATGTTTTTAAAAAAAGGAAACTCTTATTGTTGATTTTGGATTATAGAAATAATATTTAATTACTGTGAAAATTTTAAAAATTTAAACAAATGTAACAAAGAAAACCAGAAACAACCACGGTTATCATTTTGATACATTTTCTTTTACTTTTCTGAGCATTCATGAATTAAATGACCATCTACAAAGAGTGAGGATAAATATGAGGGAATTCAATCTAGTACGTGTTATAGTTCAAGACTGAATGCTGGCTCATGTTTACAGTAGGCAATGTGAGTTTGCAGGTCAAACAAGTGACGAAGAATCAAGCTAGCTATTTGCCAGCTTGGTGAAGCCTCTTTACACATTTCTATTTATCTGCCTAGAATCTGAGTTTTCTAACTTTTTATCAGAGTTAGAGTTCAGGTTCTATCTCTGCTACTTCCTGACTAGGGAAATCATTGAGCCATTTTCCCAACTACACAATGATGATTGACACAAAGTTTTCTAGGGGAAAGTAAATATTATAGTATATCTCTATCTATGTAATCTGTAAAATATATACAGACATTATGGCTTAAGGGAAATAAAATTATATTTGTAAAAATGTTTCCATATACAAGTTTTAAACTTATACCCGATTTCAAATCCTGATTCTACCAGCCATGTGACCTTGGGCACCTATTAAACTTCCTCTTCAAGCCTCGTTTGTAAATGGGGCAATAAGCAAAGCATCCGGTATATTAGTGCATTTGGCAGACACTCAATAAGCCTGGCCTCTGAGCTCAAATGACTAGAGGCCACACAGGGGACACACCGGTCAAAGTAGAGGTGGAGGAACACAGTAGTTCAAATTGCTAGTCATATAAGAAATAACATGTTTAATTCAGGGTGCTAAATAATAGAACAAGGGGCTGCTGACAATAATGAGCTTCCTTTTTAATAACTTAAGGAAAAGCTAGCTATTCATTCATCTGGGATGTTGGAAAGGGGATTCTTGCCTTTGTTCTTAGTATGAATCACATTATGATATGGAACAGCACTGTGTAGTCACTCATTTGTACTTTTAAAACATATTCTGATAGGAATGTGCTAAGTGACATAAAAACATACACAAAAAGTCTTTAGGGATCTTGCATTTGGAGAGCAGTGACAAGTAATCGTGCTGGCCTTTTCCCTCAGCATATATTCAGAATCCAAATATTTCCCACTGTTTCCACTGATACTTCTTTAGGCTGAGCCACCATCATCTTGGCCTGGATTATTGAACTTAGTCTCTCAAATGTTCTTCCTGCTTCCACTCTGTCCATTTTCAACACAACAATCAGAGTCATCCCTTTAAAATGTAAGTCAGATCACGTCTCTCTCATGGTCAAAACCCTCCAATAGTTCTCCATTTCACTCAGACTAAAACCCAAAGATCTTTTAAGGCCCCACAGCTTGTGTCTTCCCTATGAGCTCTCTGACCTGATTCTTATTAGCTTTCCCCCTTCTTGATGCTCCTGGAACCCACCAGGCAGTCTTCTGCCTCAGGAGCTTTGTACTTGCTATTTTTTCTTCTCATCCTGTTCTTCCCTCAGCCAGCTATATGGCTTAATCCTTTACCTCTTTCAGGTATTTACTCAAATCCCACCTTTCCAGTGGGGCCTTAAAATCACAACCCCCCCACTGTTTTGTGTGTTTACGTATGTACATATGGACACACATGCACACCTATACTAGATTAATAAAATTTAAAAAAACATTGAACATTATCTATTTATTCATTCCACAGACGTTCCTTGGATTCCATTTAGGCCTTTGGAGGAGTACCAATATTCATTTGTAATTTTAACACAGGGCACTTACTTTTATCCTAGAGCATTTTTCTCTCAGGCTTTCTGTGAGGTGGTGTCTTTCATTACATTGTGACTGTTTTTCGTATTTTACTACCCCTTTATGGTTCTGTTGGTCCTATGTTGGTACAAAGAAATAAACAAGGCTTCAACTATAACTACGTTCACATATAATGTCTATACGCTTTTCCAATTACATTTTTTCACATCATTTCAATAATGGAATTATAAGCTTGTAACTCAAAAATGAAGTTAAAAATGGCCAGAAAATGATTAACAGTACCATTAAGTATTGTAGTGAATGGCCTCAACTCATTGAGAAAAAATGTGGAAGAACCACATATTTTTTGAGATGGGATTTATTCCTATAACTGTCAGAGTTGAAAACTAGATATTAGATTTACATCTGATTCTTACGATTCTAAGTTTCCGAGTCAGAATTAGTCTCTGAATTGCTGCCAAATAGTACACTAGCAAAACCACCTGAAATATCTCTATTTATACTCTTCCCAGCACCTTGGAACACAAAATGTGTATCCTGTTACATTTTGTACTTTTTGATTAGAAGTATAAAACAAAACGTTTTCTCCCATTTATTCACTACAGTACTTAGAAGAATGACTAATAAATATTTGTTGAATGAATTAAATTTCTTTATGAATTTCATTAGGGTCCACATAAGGATGGTTCCCAAGTGTACATGTTTCTATTGATACTGCAAATGATTCAGTCTTCTACTCTTGTTGAATTATGAGAATAAAAAAAAGATTTTTCTAGATTTTATACAATTTCTTATTTGTCTGAATTTTATGTTATTTTCTAGAGGGTTCAACTGAGTTTTTTAAGACGTGATTCTGAACATGTAAAGACAGTTACACTGCCTGAAGTTCCTTCCCCTGTGTGTCTGGCCGCTGAGAAGAGAGCAGGCCTAAAATTCCGTCATGGGGACACAGAGAAATCTAGTCCTTCAGATGTTTTTCTACGAGGATAATGCCATTTCCTGGTTTAAAAAAGCCTTTTAAAAATTACATGAAAGAAAATGGTCTGCTTTATGTAACAAATCTTTTCTTAAAAATAAATAATTAAAATGTTATTTTCTGAAAAATATTTTGGCTTCTTTTAAAACTGTATCTTCTATTTGTGTGAAAAATTATAGTAATACTTTTCCCATCATCCTTTACTGTTTGTAGAAATTTCCAAAAAGAGAAAAAAAAAAAAAAAACCCCACAAACCCCCTCCCTGCAAAACAAAAGAAACCAAGCAAACCCAAAAACCCCACAACAACAACAAAACCAAATTATTCCCCTTTCCAAAAAAGCTTGATTCTTATAGACAGTTATTAAATAAGGGAAGATTCTGAACTCACTCTAGCTATCATTTCTCTTAAGGTTTCCCTGAATTGGTCTCTTTCCATTTTGAGAGACTCTTTTATCTTTCTTAGCTCATCTCTTTCTTTAGCTAAAATTCTTATTTCTTCAAGGCTTTTATGAAGTTTCTTAGTCAAGTGTAAGTTATCCATTTCCACAGTTTGCATAGATAAATTTTGGGCCTCAAATTGCTGCTTCAATTGTTCCATTTTGTTTATATTTTTATGAGTTTTATTGACATCTTCTTTCATTTTAAGCAGTCGAAGCTCTTTTTTCTGAAGTTCTTGTATCTTGAGATAATTATAAAACAAGTTAGAATGCAAACAGAATTCCTTCAAGGAAGGAAAACAGTGTCTACTGGCTATATACGTACATCTATATCTCTATCTATATATATCTGTATCCATATTTTTTCTCATTCCACAAATGATTTTGGACAGTTACTCCCCAAAGAACAAAACAACACATACCTTTTTCTGTAATTCATCTTTAGATTTATTTAAATCCTTTTGAATATTTGAAATCTGAGCTGTCTTTTCTGAAACTCTCTCTCTGAATTTATCAATAGTTTCTTGGTGTTCTTTCAAATGCATGTGAGCAATTTTTAGTTCCTGTTGTGTCTCCGAATCCTTTATTAGAAGAAATTGAGAAATATCATGATATCAAGGCACATTACCTTTCCTTAATGATGAACCAGTTTAACAAAATCTTAAAAAACGCATGCTCATAGTTCAAAACAACCAGCACACTGCCCCCAGATTAGAACCGTACAGAAGGATATAAACTAAAGTCCCTGTCCCTAGCCTCCCCCATCCTCGTTGGGCTGCTTGGTGATCTCTGCCGCTGCTTTCCTCCCTCTCAGACCACTTGGGGATTATTCTAAATCAGTAACACGTAAAAAGGGCCCATTCTCAAGCTTAGTAATCCATTATACAGATGTACCCTACTTAGCCAGTGCCTTATTGGTAGACACTTGGATTACTTCTAGATTTTTGTCAGCAGTAACAATGTTGCAGTGAATGCAGCTGTATTTCTGTCCAAATGTGTGAATGTATTGGTAGGATAAATTACTACAGGTGGAATCGCTGTAGCAGATATATATGCTGACAAATCTTTAATAAAGCAGTGTCAAACTGTCTCCCTAAAAGGTTGTGACATTTACATTTTCACCAACAGTATTATAAGAAGGAAGCTTCTGGTATTAACAACACATTTACTGGATAGGTAGAAAGAGCACAACTCACTCTAGCTTTGGTTTCCTGTAGGTTTGCCTGGAGCTGGTCTCTCTCCAATTTCAGATTATCTCTTTCTTTCATTACAGATTTCATTTCTTCAAGGTTTTCATGAAGCTTCTGAGCCAAATTTAAATTCTCCATTTCTATTTTATCCAGAGTTAAACTTTGGGCCTTGAATTGTTTCTTCAATCGCTCTATTTCAGACATTTTTTTCTGTGACTCACTGACATCTTCTTTTAACTTAAAAAGCTGATGTTCATTTGCCTTAAGTTGTTGAATCTTAAGATAATCATAAAATAATGTGTTAGGAATAAGACAGTTTTTTTTTTTTTTTAAAGATTTTATTTATTTATTTGAGAGAGAGAGAATGAGAGACAGAGAGCATGAGAGGGAGGAGGGTCAGAGGGAGAA